GCATTTGTTTGAGGGCTTAGGGATGATCTCGCGGCCGAAGTGCGATTAGAGAGGCCGGAGACCATGCACAAGGCCATGGAGGTTGCTAGGAGACGGGAGGATCACTTGGCCGCGACTCGAAGGGGGACGGGCGGATTTTTGTGTCCCAAAGCCGCGGCGTGTGCCGGCGACTGTGGGCGCACCTAGTGCGAACGCAAGGCTGCCAGGCACCTTCAGACCTCCGACAACTGAGGTGAAGAGGTTGACAGAGGAGGAGATGGCGCGAAGACGTGAGAAGGGGCTGTGTTTTTGGTGCGAGGAAAAGTACACGCCGGGACATCGGTGCAAGCAGAATTTCTTGATCGAGTTTGTGGACTCGGATGACAAGGAGTCGGTGATCGAGGAAGAATGGGAGGTTGAGGTCGAGGCGCTCAATGAAGAGGCCGAGATCTCAGTCCATGCGATGGCAGGCATTAAAGGCCCGAGGACTATGAAGTTGCCAGCGTGGTTGAAGGATCGATGGGTTACAGTACTCGTGGACAATGGGTCGTCGTACAATTTCATTAATGCGACTCTTTCTCACAAGCTCAAGTTGCCCACGTCCACGATTGAGCCGTTCGAGGTTAGGGTGGCGAATGGCAAGCGTTTGCGGTGCTCAGAGATGTACCGGGGCGTGCCGATCAAGTTTCAAGGAGTGACGGTGAAGGCTAATTTGTATGCCTTGTCTTTGGTGGGGCCAGATGTGGTGCTTGGGGTGCTGTGGCTCGAGGGACTTGGAGATGTGACGACCAACTATCGAAAAGGTTTGATGAAGTTTGAGGCCGGTGATCAGCTCATTACCTTGAAGGCTAGTGAAGGGGCAACCAAGGAGGTTGGTCTAAAAAGCATCGAGAAGGTGTGGCGAGGTGGCGGACCATTGTACGCTGTCATGGTCGAGCAGACGGGCGAGAAGCTCGACCAGGTGGTCGAGGAGAGGCAGCGCGAGGAGTTTGACCCGGTGGTCTTGGAGAGGCAGCACGAGGAGTTCGACCAGGTGGTCGAGGAGAGGCAGCGCGAGGTGCGTGACTTGCTCGAGGAGTTCGACCAGGTCCTCTACGAGCCCAAGGGATTGCCGCCACACTGGGAGTTCGACCACCGCATACCTTTGGTCGAGAAGGGTCGAGCAGTGCACGTGCATCCCTATAGGTACGTGCACTTTCAGAAGGCAGAGATCGAGCGGCAGGTGGACGAGATGCTCGAGTCCGAACTCATCTAGTATAGCACGAGCCCGTTGTCGTCACCGGTGCTGCTCGCAAAGAAGAAAGACGGCACGTGGTGGTTCTGCACGGACTACCGCGCTCTCAATGCGGCTACCGTGAAGGATCACTTTCCCATTCCAAGTGTCGACGACATGCTGGATGAGTTGGGTGGCGCGCGCTACTTCTCCAAGCTCGACTTGCGCGCGGGCTACCATCAGATCAGATTGGACAAAGAGGACGTGCCCAAGACGGGTTTTCGCACATACCAGGGGCACTACGAATATCTCGTGATGCCTTTTGGTTTGTGCAATGCGCCGTCGACATTTCAGTTTGCGATGAATTCCATCTTCAAGGAGTACCTACGTAAGTTTGTGTTAGTATTCTTTGATGATATTTTGGTGTACTCGAAAACATGGACAGATCATCTCGAGCACTTGCGAGTTGTTTTGGAGATTTTGGCAGCTAACTCATTCTATATCAAGCCGTCCAAGTGCTCGTTTGCTCAAGAGGGGGTCGAGTACCTTGGGCACTTTATTTCTCATGATGGTGTGAAGGTGGATCCAAGGAAGATCGAGGCGATGGTGGGTTGGCCGAAATCCACGAGCTTGACGTAGTTGCGAGGGTTCCTTGGTCTCACGGGCTACTATCAGAAATTCGTAAAAGACTATAGGACCATCGCGAAGCCACTCACGGAGATGACGAAGAAGGGAGCATTCAAGAGGACAGAGGCGAGCGATAAGGCTTTTGAGGAGCTGAAAGAGGCCATGACGACCACGCCCGTTCTCGCGATGCCGAGGTTTGATGTATTGTTCGAGATTCACTCGGATACGAGCGACATTAAGATCGGGGCAGTTCTAGTACAGGAAGGACGACCCTTGGCTTATCTCAGCAAAGCTCTCGGGTCGACGCGCTTGGGGCTGTCCGCGTACGTAAAGGAGATGTTGGCCGTGGTCGAGGCCATGCGCGTATGTAGGCCGTACTTGCTGGGGCGACGCTTTCGGATTGTCACGGACTAGCAACCGCTCAAGCACTTGCTCGAGCAAAGGATCGTGACACCCGAGCAGCAGAAGTTCGTATCCAAGTTGATGGGGTTCGACTTCGAGATAGTGTATCGGCCCGGTCGCCAGAACACCGTGGCCGAGGCATTGTCACGCCGGGAAGACGTGGCCGAACTCAACACCGTGACGGGGCCGACGTGGGCCATTTGGACCGAGCTTCGGAAGGCACAAGACGAGGATGCGCATTGCCGGGATGTGATCGAGAAGCTGAACATGGGACACGACGAGGACGAGGACCATGACATGCACGATGGCTTGCTCCTTTATCATGGACGAGTCGTCGTGCCCGAGGCGGGATCGTTGCGCGAGGACATCATCCGGCACTTCCACGACTCGAGGTTTGGAGGACATTCGGGGGTGTTCTGGACATGGATGAAGATTGCGAGCACATTTTATTGGCCGGGGCTGATGGGCGATGTGCGCGACTACGTTGGACGATGTGATGAGTGCCAACGCACTAAGGCGGACGCGCGTCGACCGGGCGGGCTGCTCCAACCTTTTCCGGTTCCCGCGCGTATTGGGGAAGACATCACCATGGATTTTATCGAAGGGTTGCCACGCTCGAATGGGTTCAATGGATTCATGGTGGTAGTCGACCGCCTTACCAAGTATGCGCATTTTATTCCACTTACTCATCCATACACGACTAAGTCTATAGCAAAATTGTTTGTTGAATATGTGATGAAGTTGCATGGGGTACCGCGGTCAATTGTGTCCGACCGGGATCAGATATTTATGAGTAGTTTTTGGTCGGAGTTCTTTAAATTTCACGGAACCAAGCTAAGCATGAGCTCGGCTTATCATCCACAAATCGACGGACAGACGGAGGTGACCAATCGCACACTTGAGCAGTACCTAAGGTGCTGTGTGCATCAGTTTCCAAAGCGGTGGAAAGATTATTTACCTTGGGCCGAGTATTGGTATAATACCACTTACCATAGCTCGACTAAGGCGACGCCGTTCGAGTTGGTGTACGGGCGCAAACCGCCAACGATCGTGAGTTACTCGATGGGGAGCGCCGTGAACGATGAGGTCGATCGAGAGTTGGTCGAGCGCGATTTGATGTTGCGCGACCTAAAGAGGACGTTGGAGGGTAGGATGAAGGCGTACCATGATGGCAAGCGGCGTGACGTGGAGTTCGAGCCCGGGGACTGAGTGTACTTGAAATTGAGGCCGTTTCGGCAAAGGACGGCCGCGCAAAGGGCCGCGACCAAGCTCGAAGTTCGATGTTACGGGCTTTATAAAATTTTGGCCAAGATTGGGAAGGTTGCTTATCGACTAGAGTTGCCGGACGATTCCCATATTCATCCGGTTATACACGTCTCACAACTCAAGCAACGACACGGCGAGACGCACGCGGTGAAGGATCGACTACCCGCGGTTGCGCTGGACGAGCAGGTTATGGTGCGACCGAGCCGCGCGATGGAGTACCGGCAAGTCAAAAAGGCTGGGAAATATTTTTGAGAAGTGCTCGTCTAATTGGAGGACTTGCCGAGCGAGGAAGCGACGTGGCAGAGCTGGGACGAGATGCGCGAGATGTTCCCCGATTTCTTCCTTGAGGACAAGGAAGCACTTGAAGGGGACGGGAATGATGCAGACATGGTGAGAAGGCTAAAAAACGCAGCAAGTCGCGCGTTGCATGCGCGAAGGAGGCTAAGTCGCCGTGCCAGCGAGGCGCGATACGCGGACGGACGCGCGCGCGCCATACTGTTGGGAACGAGCGCGGGTTTGAACGCGCGGGCGACGGGGTGCACGCGCATACTTGCCTAGGTGCGCGAGGATTAGGCGAGCTGCTGGACGCGTGCGCAGAAATGGAGATAAAGCCCTAGTCCTTGGGCGATTAGGCAACGCGGATGCGGGGCAGGGCGGTTTGAGACGCAAGCAAGATACATTCTAGATAGCTTGGTTAATATTTTATTTCCTTGTTTTCTAGTTTGTTTAGGACACTTTATATTTTATTTCTTTCCTAGAATAAGTAGTCTAGTCTAAGTAGATTAGGACTTGAACTTTATTTTGAGCCTTATAAATAGGCGTGCCTTGTTCTCAATTGATTATTATTGATTCTTCTTATTACAAAACCGAACTTTTGTTCAAATCTCTTGCTTTAGTTTACATTAAGTGTTCTATTGCAAATTATCGTTCGAAGGGGCGCGAGTGTGTGAACCTCCAAGCACAGTATCGGCGATTTAAGGCGCGGGAGCGGCTTGTCGGCAATCAAGACACACGGTCTTCATCACGCCCGCAGCACAGCGCCCAGCGCCTGCAGCACAGCGCCCCAGCGCCCCGGCCAGGCCGACAGCGCCCGTGCGCGTCCCAACAGCACCCAGCCATGCCACGACCGTGCCAGCAAGCAGCCCGGGGCCCGACCCAAGCCTTCTTTATATTTTTCCCGAACCCTTGTGTGTGCTTTTGACCTGTTTGACTTTGTTTTGCGTGCTAAGTCTATGTGTGGTGTTCATATGCATTTTTTTGGTCAAGTCTAAGTGTAGAATCCAAGTGTTCCAATGTCCACGGAACTACACGAACTACTTGGTTGAATCAAGTTCGACCAATGTATGCTTGTGTTTGTTCTCCAAGGTCAAATAGATGTTGATCTTAGTAGTAATTGTTGTAGGTGTTTGACGAGTCGTGCTCGCTGCCTACTCTCGATTGTGTGCCTTATTCCTTTGCTGTACCAGGTGGGTTTTAATCTAAAATTTGTTATGCCGTATGTGTTTATTATAATGTTGATTTGGAATGATTTTAGTATGTACGTAAACCATGTAGCCTATCGGCGTGAGCCGATTCGGCCGTCGGTACGGTTGTCCTCGTCGATGTAATACGATTACCTTGCGAGGTAAGTCTCCGTAAGACCTAATGAAAGGTCGTGCCTTGTCGTATGGCACGTACCCCCATGAGTTAGGGTAACGAATCCTCTTTCCTGGGCTAATGAAAGATGTGTACACGTAGGTATTATGTTGTGATGTGATTAGGAGACGTGACAGAGTAATTGTTTTATGTTCATACTCTAACCATACCTTCTCTTCATTATTTATGTTGTGAGATATGTGCATAGTGGTGAGCACGCTTTTCATCTTGTGCTCATCCCCACCTGCTCTTCACCGATGCAGGTTAAGCAGGAGCTGGGTGACGAGAAGAGGCGAGTGGGTCGGTCATTTTATTTTGCATTGATTGCTTCCGTTTGTATAAATAAGGCTTTATGAACCTTTATGTTGAGACTTGTTTAAACCATTTTCCAAACTTATGACTTGTGTGTTTTTGGAAAATTTATGGAACCCTGATATTGGGTATTATGGTTTGATTATATATTCGTGTTAAGAATTATGCCTCGTGATGTGTTTGGTTAATGAAAACCATTTGTGAAAACCGGGTAATGAATCCCCGTAGGCCCAGATAAGACTTGGGTTATGAAATTGTTGTTTAACACCCATTAAATTTCGAAAGTGATCTCGAAAATTTCTGTAAAATCAAAGTGGGGTGTTACAATTAATCCGACAAATGAACACGGATAATACATAACAAAGAGTCGAGGCTCGATACCGTTCTCGGGAAGGCGAGAATGGTTCGAGCGGATGACGGGACTACGAGCTCGACGGCTT